CATGTTCGCCATAGCCGATGCATCATGCTCGCATCCATGTTGGTATCAGCTGCGATTTGATGTAAGGACCAACCCGCCCTTCTCAGTCTGATCACCATACCCCCTCGTAAAATTGTCTATCTGCTGGAAGTGCCTTCTTTGACAGCGGCCTGGCATTCTTTCTTATTACACGTATTCTCCGGGACAAAAACCAACTTTCTTCGATATTTCGTCTGGCAGAAATAACGACATGAATATTGCCCATTCTGCACTTTCCTCCCCTTATATCTTACTTCACGTGCGTCGGAGAGCTGCACATTTCTCATCATTCGCATAACTCAGTGATGTGCATCTACTCTAAAATTTGCATAAATTTCTGACCACTCCTTCTTGGTGTTGCATTTTCAATGCCAAGCAGTATATGTATGAACCTCTTAAGTTCAGATTACAGATGTTCAATATGTGCTCCATCAGCGACACGAACAATATCACATTGATACTCAAATTCCTCCCATACTCGGGCAAGCATGTCCGTCGTCTTTGATGTTACGGTTTCGGTTCTTCACATCTTCCATATACTGTGGGAGTTATGTAAACGTGTTTTTAATGAAACCTCACAGGAAGAAGTCACAGGGTTGCAAATCTGGTGACCGTGGAGGCCAAATGAGACATGCTATGTTGCCAGCTCTTTGATGACCAATCCAACAATTCGGTAGAGTTTCATTCAGATAATCATGCACTTGACGACACCAGTAAGGGGAGTGCCCTGTCTTGTTGAAAAATGAAGTTGTCTTCTTGCAGCCTCGGAATCAACCAGTTTTGTAACATAGCGAGATACTGCTGACTGTTAACCATGTTTCCATCAAAGGAGAATGGGCCGTAAACAGATGATCAGGATATCGCACAACACACATTGATTTTGGGCGAATCTCGTACATGTTCAATGGCTGCATGTGGATTCTGTAGGCCGCAAATTCGAACATTGTGTTTGTTTACATGACCACTAACACGAAAGGTTGCTTCATCACTGAACACGATGCGTTGTGCGAATGTATGATCATTGTCAATAGCATCAATAATCTCGTTACAAAATGCCACATGTTTTCGTTTGTCATTAGGACACAGAGCCTGTAACAAATGTAACTTGTTCGGCTTCATAACCAACTGACGTCTCAAAACATGCCAAATTGTTGTTGTAGGCAGTTGTAACTCCCAACTGGCATGACGAGTTGATTTTGAAGGACTACGTTGGAAAGCAGTTTGAATTTGTGCAAAATTTTTGTCGGAACACGAGGATGGCCAAGACTCTTTCCTTTGCATACACATCCTATGTTTACAAACTGTTGATACATCTGCTAATATTCCACCCATTCAGAGGATCATTTTGGTACCTCAACTTGAAACGTCTTTGCACTGTAATCATGGAATTGCACTTCGCAAACTCGAGAACATAAAAAGATTTCTGCTGCGGAGTAGCCATTTTAAACATGTGATAGTTACCATGCAAAACAGAAGACAATAGCGGCTATTAATATAAACTAGACTATGCATTCGTCACGCCAATAACTGAGCCGAGGCGCAGTGATAGTTTGCACATAGTAACACTTTGTAATATGTATATTCTTTTTGAAACACTGTGTACTTTCTGAAAAAGTTTACAAAATTACAGATTCATTGCTAAAGCTACTCAAAATCTTAATTTCCTAACTAAGCTAAATGCCAGATTCTAAATCTTTCACAAGTAGGAAGCAAGATGAGTGTCAGCAAATGTTTATCTGAACACACGTCTAAACAGTTATGAGCTATTTCTCTAACTTTGTACTAAACTGCTTTCTACTCAAATTTGCATAATGCCTGGAATGAGCAAGTTTATGATGATATGTGAGAGCATAAGGGATGTAGAAAGATATAAATTAAAATCAAATTTGTTGGTGAAACTCAAATATGTCGCACTGTGGCCTCATAACCTATAGTGATGGATGCTTTAGAATGAGTTCATAGTGCTTAAAGGGTTAATGCCTGAATTATAAGTCCCAAAGTCTGGTTTTATCATCAGTTTGTAGTTTGATTTATTACATACTGATATGTTTAATGTTGGTTATACATACACATAGCCCCACCAATGGCCAAGTACTTAAGAATAAAGACCACTGAATACTAAGAGTTCGACCCAGGTTTGATCCCCAATGAATGGTCTGGCTGCATGGTTAATTTTTGTAGTTTTTTTACTTGTATAACATAAATACCAAATAATTTCCCTCAGAAAGTCCTCCACGAAGGCATCCCTTTCCTTAGGCAGATAGCTCTTGTGAGCTTTGCCATATTCAAATAACCTAACCTATATATGCATAAATTTTCGATTTTTTTTTTTTTAGATATATTGAATAAGGATTCTTCAAATACATGTGAAACCAAATTTCACTTCTATATGAATTGCATGTAGAATTTATTTGAAACTTTTGACTTGACTTTAAGTCATAAAACCCATTTAATGGATATTTCAGTGAATTTATTTTGTTGGCAGTCACGTATTTAGATTATACTGCAGAAATAAGAGTATTTTTCCCCTTCATTTAGTTATGGCCTTTTTTTTTTCAATATTTGAGTTATATTTCAACCATAAAATAATCATGTAAATGATACTGCACACATTGGCCAGTGAAGTAGAAACCCAAGATCAATATTTTATTGTGCTGCCTTTTGCACGGATAACTGCTCTGATTCATTTGGGCATCGAGACTACATGCTTCTGGAATCATTTACATCCAGAGAATACCATGCAGCTCTTTAGATCTTGTAATGGAAGGAAGAGGACCTTAGATGGAAGAGGAGAGTGCTGTTGGATGATTCTTTCCACCATATCCCATACATTTTCTATGGGGTTAAGATTCGGGTTATGCTGTGGCCAGGAAAAATGTTGGAAGTCAGACTGATGTTTAGTGAACCAATTTTGAACACTTCTGGCATGATATATAGTTGCATTATTATCCATGAAGTGTCCATCACCATCAGGGTAAATATGCAACATTGCTGGGTGCACTTGATCTGCCAGTATATCTAGCTATCCCATGGCTGTTTGTTTACCCTCGAGGAACAGCAGGGCACCACTTCCATGCTAGCAGAACACGATACTCCCAACAGACCTTTGCACAGTGCGAGTAAGGCAAGATGGCTTCATGAGGTTCTCGCCAAATTTGACATCTTCCATGAGTGCGAAATAAGGTGTAGTGTGATTAATCTGACCACATTACCTGTTTCCAATCCTCAGATGTCCAGTGTCTTCTTTCTCAACACCACTGCAAATGAATTCTTGCATGTTGGACAGAAATGAGTGGTTTTCTCACAGTCACTTGACTTTGCATTCCTATCCTCGGCAATTATCTGCTCATGGCTCGAGCTGAAACCTGTTGGGAAGAGCCTTGGTTGATGATCTGTGCCAGTTGAAGCACAGCAGAGTCCGTCCTGGTTCTGCTGTACAATTTGTTGGAGACGTTGCTGATCACTCTGTTGGAAAACTGTGCTCGAACTGCAGTTACGTCTTCTATGAAGATGTAACTGTGGACTATGGGATAGAAGAGAAGGACTATGGGTTCTGATTCTAACTTTTGAAACTTTTGATATGATTGCTTTTTAGAACCCAGTGAGATTTGCTTTCTTCGAAATTGAGGCCCTACTAAAAAGGCACCAACAATAAGCCCTTTTCAAATGGTGAAAGATCTGTCGTTTTTCCTTTTTTACTTCATTCATCATGAAAAGCACTTTTATACCTTACTTATACTAGTATTCTAACCACATGTAACTTACATCATGAAAATAATTTGCATACTTCATCCCTAACACATATTCAAATGAAAATCTCAAAAGTTTCTGATTCATTAGCCAGCGTGTGTACATTCGTAATGTTATTAATAAACATGACTTTACAAAACTTGTAATGCATATTACTGGCTTTAAAATGGTAATATGAAGTATTTTTAATTTACACAATTTATGTACAAGAACTTTGGAAGAAATGTTCATGCATGTTTTAATAATTTATTTATATTTGATGAATTATCATTTATTCGTGGCTTTCTGTGAAATGTGGGAAATCATAGAATGCCATCTACTCAAAGGAAAGGAACAGGATAATTACTAAAGAAGTAGTAAAATCATATCACAATTCTGAAGTTAAATTGCAACATTTGTGATCTTGCACATTGCTTAACATCAAAGGTATAGAGTAGCAGAATTGTTATTATTATCATTTGAAGCAAGTCTTAACTTATCCCTAGATCACAAATGAGTGATCTAACTTGTTAGCTTTCTAACTCTTATATCAGTTTCTCCATTCTTTGCATCAGCATTCAGTTTCCATAATAAGATGGCCTTCACAACTTTTTGTTTCTTTAACTTTTATTGCTGAGCGAGAACATGATAAAAACAAGCAATTAATTGTACTATACTATGTGGTTTCACTAAACCTTCTCTGCCTCTGCACCAATGCTCATTTCCCTTTACTCTGTTCGGGCCTATCTCTGTTTCTGCTTGTGGTAACCCTTCTACATTGGGACCTAGAAGATGCAAATTATGTCACCCTCCATTCTATATATTTGCTATACTAGTTCCCTAAAAATAACTCTTAACAATAACACACGATTTTAAGCTGAAAACTCCGGCAGTTATGTTAGCAATATTATCAAATAAAAAATTTCATTCTTCCATTAAATAATTTGAATTAGTTTTATTTAAAATTTGAATATGTTTTTCATCTGCCCATAATTCAATATACATTCCATTCTCCCATTTAATAATTTAAATTAGTTGTATTTAAAATTTGGATTCATTTTTCATCTACCAAGTAATTCAATGCATGCTTTTATAAATTAAAAATATTCAGAACCTTCATTTTTTTCTTCTTTGTGCCTCTTCCTTTTTTATGTTCAACAGAAAGGGTTAAACTCTTGTTTTGCAGTTTTTAGCAGTTACTGTAAATTATTTTATAAACATCTGTGTTTCTAATAATTTTGTTTCTAATTTAGCATAATTTAATTCCACAACCAGTAACAGAAGAATTTACTAAAGATGATGACTTTTTAATTCTTGAAGATAATCTTCAAAGGGTGATTCTTTGTGGTAACATTGATCCTCATTCTCACGTTACTGGTAAGCATACAAATATAATTTTTAACTTTCTTTTTTTTTTATTTTTTTCAGTGTGGGACATATATTTTATAATTTACTTCATTTTTTTTTAAAGTAACAGAGGAAATTGAAAGAAATGATAAACAACTTTAAATATATGAAATGGTTCTTATTTTTTATGGCATTGTCAGAATATTCATAATGATTTTTAATTTACAAACAGCAACTATTTTTTATAACTTTTCCTTTTTTCTTGTGTATGTTTATTCAGAAAGCTTTAAAATCCAAAGTTCGCTTTAGTCCTTTAAATTTCCTGTAATTAAGTACCATTTTTATAAATTTTTAAAAAATTTTAGTCTATTCTTTAATATATAAAATTAATGATACTTCCTTGTTAAAGCAATCACATCAGTCATTTACCTAAAACTGAAGATAAGTCAGAAGGTTTGGCACATTTTTCATACCAGTTAATAACAGTAACATTTAACTTGTAATAACAGTAATGTATCATATACGGTCAAAAGTCGTTAATTCGGACACCCATAATCCGGACCTCAAAGCAACAAACTTTCTGCGCATGCGTTGCGTTGATGGTTGACGCATGCACATAGGCGTTTACGCGTGCGCATCCTTTACGGCTGCGAATAGGCGTGTGCTCATGCGCATAAAATGTTTACGCATGCGCCTTTAATGTATAACGGACGGTATAAGCTAAGCTAAAATTATCGTTGCGTTGTTCTTTAATCTTCGAATTGGATCCACCTTATTATTTTTTGCAGACTGTTTGAGCAATTTTATAAAAGTAAGCTTGAACTTTCGATTATGTCAAATAGAATTTCTGATATATATTTACTAATATGTAAAGGATCTACAAAGCGAAAGTATGTTTTGAAATCCGAAATCTGTTTATCAATTTCATGCTGCCCTGCAGTGGGAAGGGAGGGAAACGCCGCGGCGCGCAATGAATTGGAAGTTGATCTGTCAGCACTATCCTTATCTTCAGGGCAGATGTTTTTATTTTATTTGGCTTATAATTCCTTACTTTTGGAATTCCTTACTAAATGTAGTATTTCATCTCGATATACTCCGTCATTGATATGATTTAAATCAAGTTCCTTGTCATTATAATTCGCTTCGGATAGTGAAGAAAATGACACAGAGGTTATTGAAAACAAAAAAATTTCAAATGACAAATTAGTCGGCATTCTCAACACAGCAATTATAGGACTTGAACAGCAGAACTTTGTAACTAAACAAGAAATTATGTCTGTTTAATAGAATTAAAGAGAAAGTATTATCACATGAAACGAAGCAACTTAAACAACTTACATTGAAAGAAATGTTTAATAAAGTAAACAAATAAATATTAAGCCTTTTCTTTTTGTAAATTTTGATACCCTTTAGATCATAATTGTTCTTTATTTCATAAATTACGGTTTCATATTTTTAATTTTGTAATTTCTGCATACCATCTTACCAGATTTAAACTGATCTATAATCCGAAAAAATCGATAATCTAGATTCGCCGAAGTCCCGACAAGTCCGGATTAACGACTTTTGACTGTAATATAATGCACATAATGCTTAATTTGTGGTATGTAAAAGCTGTTCAGAATGAAAAATTTGTGGAATTCTCTGATGTTCCTTTGAGCAAAAACAGATTGCTGTGTACATGGGAGAGAACAACAGATATTTTTCATTACAATTTTAATTTGTATTTTAAAATATATTTTTAATTGTTTTCTCTTGATATGTTGATAATATTTGGTGATAAATATTTGTGGTGATAACTTGTAGGATGAGAAAAAATGTACTTCATTTTCTGTTTTTTCTTAAAAAAAAAATTTTAGAAAATTGCACGAATTTGACATCATACTCATTAAACTTTAAATGTATAATATTATATTATTGTGGTTTTTCACTTTTTAAAGGTTTCTATAGTACTTTCAATTTCCTCCAGATTAATTTTCTCCAGTTTGCATAATTTCTTCAAAGCAGTTGCAATGGCTGCTGTACCAAGGAAGTACTAAATTAATTTTTGTAAATAAGAAATGCAAATTCAGAATGTTAAAATGTAGCTCTGTGTGAAGTCTTTAAAATCAGAAAAAAAATTCAACTTTAAGCTGGCATCAACTAGCAAGAAAATATGTTCAGTTAATTGGGCTAGAATGATTCAGAGGTAGCCTGTGAGAAATAAAACCATTCAATGAAATTGGTTGGTACACTACTGCTAACTAACTAGTCACCAAATGTGCTCCAAATTGCCAAATGTGGTAGCTTATTTACATCATATCATGGACAGCTGTGCAGTGATAATATATGTAATCTAAATGTGTAAATGTCAAATTTATGCAATTTTCTTCTCTTTTTAAGTGAAGAGATGAATGAATTGCACAAGAGCTAACCTATTTGGTATCAGCCTTGGCATTGCTCACATTAAACATTATATATATATCTATACTATATTCATTCCTGACTTGTTCTTCTATTGGTTCTACAGGTATTCATTGTATATAAAAAAAGTTATTCTATTTCTTAAGCATTATGTATTGTTAGGGTTGCCACCATCTAGTTAGATTTCATGCCAATGTTTATCTTTGGTGCTAAGTGGAGCCAATTAACACAAAAGTGCTAAGTAGTTTAATTTAACAGTAGTTATTTTTAAATTCTCACCCTTTGCAATATCTGCCAAAAGTACAGCAGACGGAAATGGTATCAGAAAACAACACTGGAAAAAAATAGTGGGAGGAAAGGAAGAAAAGAGATATTGTGGTAATAAAACATCATTATAAAAAATAAAGTAGCTAAAAATTTTTTAATTTTTAAAGCATCTTGGTGTAAAATATAATAGTAAAATATAAAGCATCCATAAATCATCTCAGACATATTTTTAAACTATAGAAGTTTAAAATGCATGTTCGCATAATGATTCGTGAGTGCAAAAAGACATTAGGAACATTTTTACCACTATATTTGATATTATTGAATAAGCTAATAACTATTTACTTAAAAAGTTAGAAAGAAATTTAAGCATTCAAAATATTAAAATGTGTAGTAATTAAAGCTGCACCGTTAATGAATTTTAAAGTAATGTAGTTAACTGTCAAAAATAATTTCCCTTTTTAATCTTTGTTTTATACAATGAGTGATTTTTTTTCATATTCATGAAAAATATTACTTATAAACTTTATAAAAGAGATTAATTAAATAAATACTTTTAACAGTTAAATACATATCTTTAAGATTCTACTAACTACTTTATATATAGCGTTAATTTCTACTCATTTTCAAATTTTGAATGCTCAAGTTTCCTTCTTGCTTTTTTTAAGTACAAATTAATTAATTTATTTAAAAATCTAACATGCAGAGGTAAAAATATTTTCCATTTCTTTTTGCACTCACAAATTATTATTCAAGCATGCTTTCGAAACTTTTCATATATGAAAACACATGTCTGTAATGTCTGCAACAATGTTTTATACCATGATAATTTTAAAAAAAAAAAAAAAAAAAAAAAAAAAAAAAAAGAATATTTAGATGCTTCCACTTCATTTTAAATTTAGCAAATGTCATTGTAGTATTATCATTTCAGACTGTGATTGAACGATAATTACTTCTGCTAAGAAGAAGAAATGAAACATTTAAATAAAAACATTTTTAGACAAAGAACTTTATATTGTTATCTGAAGATCTAATTCAGTGTTTTTCAGCTTGTGGTATGTGTACCTCCACGGGTATGTGAAATGGTCTTGTGTTACAAGAAAAAAAAAAAAAAAAAAAAAAAAATGATGTAAATATTCTAAAGCAAGTTTGTTTCTTTCAAATGCCAAAAATCGTTTGACAAAATATGATTAAACACGGCAACATGAACTGTTTTCTCAGACAATATTTGCGGTGGTGGAAAACTTTCATTAAAACCCGATATCACTGGTCAATCTGTCCTATTTAGAGTGTTATTTTCTACTTTCTTGTAACCCTCTTAAGAAGAGCTGTTATTATTGATTAAGAATTTAATTATGGCCCAAAATTCTAGGTTGATTGTTTATTTGGCTCTTTTTTTTTTTTTTTTTTTTTTTTTTTTTTGCTGGATAGGATGTAAAAGAGGGTCATAGCAGACATCTTTCCAAAGCACTGAATGTGTCACATATCTTCAGACTTTGGATAAGATGCCAGCATATAGAAGAGATGAAATGTTATAAATGTTTATTTACAATATACTATAATGATACACTAAGAATACTTTGGAACTAGAGAAAAAGATCCATCTTAATTTTAGTTTAAAACTTAAAATGGATTTGGTTGCAACCTCTGTTTACAGTGCAGTTATAATGATAGAATTTAGAAACTTATAATTGATTACGGAAGAATTTTACTCTGCCCGTGCAGGGTCTGACGAATCACACACCATCTATTTTGCTGTATCCTCAGCACTAACTTCTGAACATCCAGAAATTTTCAAAAGAATGTTTCCTTTTCTTGAGCTTCTTTTCCTCTTTTTTTCTCTTCTTCAGTTGATTCTGAACAATTCTGAAAGTGATTCAGATAACCAGCAATTCGGATAGTTGGAGTTGTACTGTACTCAATTAGAACTTCTGTTTTGTAGTAAGGAAGGGAGAAAAAGAAGAAATAGAAATCATGGGGTGTTAAAACATGCTGGAACTCATTAGGGAGAATGATACAGAGATTTTTAAAAATTTGAAATCTGATTAAGATTTGCTTATGAGAGCTGAAACTCAATCACATGTAGAAAAATGTGTATCATGAAGTAATTTTAATCACTGAAAAGCATGTGATTAAAGTTAATATGTAAGATTATGTATATGTTAATATGTATGTGATTAAAGTTATATGAAAAGCATGTGATTAAAGTAAAAGTTAATATGATTTATAGCAAAAGTTTTAAACAGCAGATAAGCTAATATGTAAGGATGATGAAGTTTTTAACTCTGCAGCCAGCCAAGATGCAGATATATGACTTTTCTAGCCAGAGATCTACAATATCTTTCTTTATGCCTTTATGTAAATATATGTATATGTGAGGATAATGTAGTTTGTTGCAGCTAATTGATATTAGATGAGTGCTTGACTAGAGAAGACACCAATTATTCTACAATTATGAGTGGATTGAAGTTGGAAGATCGCTGAAATATTGATTACATAGTAGAAGACGTCGACAACTTTTGAAGAATTATAAAATCCCTTAATAATTCAAACATATCTTTATTACTTGTTCATTACTGCATGGCATGGCACAGCACATTGGGCAGAACCTGCACCCTTCAATTTTGATTATGATGCATTACATTTTTAACAATGACTAGAAATAGCCAAACAAGAGATGTGCTTTAGCTAGCAAGTATAAGCAGATAAAGAGAAGTTGTAGTTAGTTGCAATACTATTTATCAGCTTGGAAATCCTTTGTTTTATTTCTGGATAGTGAATGGGCAAGCGTTTACAGCAATGCAGATACTGCAGGGAAATTGCAGATGCCTTGAAAGTATTGCGTTTTAATTGAAAATTAGTAGCTTAAAGATCTATTGTCAATTTGTTCAATTAAGTTTTAATCTGATAATAAATTTTTCTTCGTATTTTCATATCTTACATATTCTTCCATTCAAGGAGCAAAAGGCTTGGTGAGAGAAAACCCTTTTCAGAAGAAAGCATTAATGTATATGTTAGCAAAGGAAAAGAAATTATTTACAATTTGAATGAGAAAACAAATAAATGGCTTCAAGAAGTGATTTAGAAATACTAGAATAAAATATGATTTTGTAACTTAAATTTATAATCCAATTCCAATCAAGTCTCTAAAATAGCAATTTGTAAAGTTCTTGAGGTGGCCTGAAAGGTTACATAAATTCTTAAAGTCTTGTAAAAATCTTTCCTAAAAAGTAAGTAGAAGGTGTTGCTAAACTTATCAATATAAAATCTTTTAGAACATTGGTATGAAATTATTTTAAAATTAATACTTATTTACATATTATAAAATGTAGTTAGATATTTTTATTATAGAGCAATGTAATAATTAATTTGCAGAATTGAAATAATATAATATAATAGTAAACTTTGATTAAAATCGGCAGATCTTCTGCTAGCAAATCAGTATAACTACTTGCTAAAGGCTGTGGGATGCTTAAATACAATTGATATAAAAACCTCAATTCCTTATACTAGATAACTGGCTTTTAACATTGTATATTTTTTTAAAAGGAAGATTTTATTTACTATTTATGGATATAAAATTCTTTATAGTACGTACTTATTATGAAAAATAAATATACAAAAGTTAAAATTGAACTTATATAAGCAAGTTATGTCTTAGAAATATTGTAAACATAATTATTTTATATTACCTACAATAATGATTTTAAGGAAAAATTTTTAGATCAAATAATAATAATAAAAAGATTGAGAGAATGAATCAAATTTGAAGTAAAATTGTCAGAATTAAAGTTTTAAAATCTTCATAATGATACTTGTTTAGGGCAGTCCTTTTAAAAAATTTCACACTGTAAAAACTTTAAATACACCCATTAATTATTGTATATGATCACAAAAAATTTCAAAACTTTATATGTAATTTTCATCCCATTTAATATCATTTTGAAGTAATTTTACTGAAATTATGCTATTTATTATTAAGACATGCTTAATTTACTTATTTTTGTATAAAACTGGAAGACTGGTTGATAAACTGTATCTTTGAAAACACTCATAAAATCACTTTTAATATGAACACTTCGCTGGATTAATTTTCGAAATACTGTGGATGGTACGAATATTTTTCATTCCTGGATATTGAATAGATCAAGAGCAACATTTTATACGGATGCAGAATAAAATAAAATTATTTATCATAGCAAAGCTTCAATCCTTTCGTTCAGCTTTCTTTAAATACTAACATTATCATCTTATGGGCAAATCCATTTGAGCTAACTTGTGTGTTTGTTCTGTACTGGAGGCCAAGGGAGCTATCGCAGTTGCTTTGAAAGGCCTCCGTTCTTTCTTTAAACATTAAAAAAATTACCCCATTATACAAATAATAATTATATAGGAAATATTATCGGGTGGAAGCCTTCAAAGTTTGTAGCCACTTCATTCTTAAAATGATTAGAAAATTGTTAGAATTCAAATTTTTTAATAATAATCTCATTGTTAAAATAATTGAAAAATTTAAAATATTAATTCAAAGGTATTTAAACAATAATGCAAAAATATATTAATCATGTTAATAACCTTCCCTAAATAAAATCTTAAAATTCTTTAATTCCACTAAATTGGCAAAGTTCAAATTTCCAGTACCGTATAATTTTTAATTTTTCATAAAACAGTGCTGTACTTTTAATACAATATGAAAAGAAATGGCATTATGTACTCAGATTTTCAGTATAATAATAATGATCAGCAATTTCTATATATATTTCTACTTGCACTAAATAAAACCTTAATTTTTTTTTTAATCCATAGCACTATTTTTGTTCTGCTGAAAAATTAACTTGATTATTAATAATTTTCAGTATTATTGATTTTCAGTTTCACTGAGTCCTGTCTCACTTGATAATAATTTTCAGCTTTCATTAGATAGACTATGCAATTAAGAAAGTGAATGGGAAAATACATTTCTGCCTTGTATACACTTGAAGCACACCATATGAACAGACTAATGACCTTAGTATCATTGTAGCACTGAAATAATTTAAGAATGTTGATAAACTGTATCTTTGAAAACACTCATAAAATCACTTTTAATATAAACACTTTGCTGGATTAGTTTTCGAAATACTGCGGATGGTACGAATATTTTTCATTTCTGGATATTGAATAGATCAAGAGCAAAATTTTATACAGATGCAGAATAAAGTAAAATTAGTTATCATAGCAAAGTTTCAATCCTTGTCTTTCACACAATTTCAATTTTGTAGATAAACTGCACTTTAAGACAAGGCTTATTCTGCACAGATAAACTTAACTTTTAGGCAGGTATTTCTGAGATAGATGATATCTATCTATCTATGTAGCTATATAAATATATAATTCGATAACTTAAAACAAAAAAGAAAATGCTGCTTAAATATTTGAAGGCCAATCTATTATCACTGTAAAACAAGTTAAATTAGTGAAACACAAATTAAAGAAAAATACTAAATTAAAAACAAAAATTAAATTTCAAAGAGGAAAACTAGAAAAAAATGGGAAAAGTACAGATAAAACCAAAACAATAAAAAATTTGTTAATCTCCTCTGTTTACTGCTTCAAACAGAATTTGTCAAAGGAAAAGTGTTTTGAAGACCTATTATATACTATATGCATGCATTTTGAAATACATTCAAACAATTAAGGTGGTAAATCCAAAGAAAATATGAAGTGGCGATAATGTTTTGGAATTATAATCAACAAAATACACTCTTTTGCAAAAAAATCGAAGCACTAAGAAGGACTCTTGCGATTGTGACGGAATTTGGTATGAAAAAACATCTTGATCGAACATGCAAATGATCAAAGTTTCAAGGCAAATGAACAAGAATTGTGATCATAGTCTGAGGTGGTGTTACACTCACAGAAGCCTTTGACCTAAGATGTTTGCCTTTGACCTCACAACATCGGCGGAGTTGTCTGGAGTGGTGTCACAGCTGGTCATTATGGCTGCCATCTGACTGACATCATATAGTGTTCAGCGATGAATGCAGCTTCACTCTTGAAGTAGATGACTACCGTGTTCTTGTCTGAAGAAAATGGGGCCAGCGGTTCCAATCAGCCTTTGTTTTACAAAGGCATACAGCTATAACCCGTGGTGTGATGGTGTGGGGCACTATTTCTTATGACAGCAGGTCATCTTTAGTCATCCTCCGTACATCTTTAATAGCTCAACGATATGTTGATATCATCCTGTGGCTGGTTGCATTACCCCTCATAGCACATCATCCTGGGGCCATTTTCCAACAAGATAATGCCAGGCCACATACTGCTCGCATATCTGTGGACTGTCTTCGTGTGGTTGATACTCTTCCTTGGCCAGCAAGGACCAGACTTTTCACCAATCGAGCATGTCTAGGACATAGTAGGCCGCCAGATTCGGGCACCACAAAATATTGCAGATTTGGAGCGACAACTGATGAATGCCTGGCAGAATGTGTTGCAGGATGACATTAGGAACTTCTACCATTCCTAGCCTCGATGAATTCAATCATGCATTGCCGCCAGGGACAGTTCGACCAACTACTAGTGTGAACACTTAGTGGGTGATTGAACAGGTACTATGACCTTGATTTTTTAAACATTTTATTATCTGTGTATGAGCTATACACATATTCAATTTCATCAAAAACAAACACTTCCTTCATGGTGCTTCGTTTTTTTTGCAAAAGAGTGTATTCCTTTCATATAGCACTTTTTTAAATTTCAGAATTTTATGGAAAACATGAAAAAAAATCTGTTGTCTGGTTAGAGGGTTAAATTACTTAAAATTAGTGTAGAATAAGTGCAGAAATAAAGATCTTGTTATCTGTCAAAAATAATATTTGCAAGTATTTTTCTGCATCTAAAATGGAAAAAGATGAATTTTTTGCCTGTCATGCAAAAATAGAATTGCACAATTGGCAAAACATATCTTTTTAAAGTTCTATTTAAAACTGGAGCTCAAAGACAAAGAAATGTGTTTGGCTATACAGAGAATTTTGCACATTCCATAAAAAATAAATCTGATTGATTGGTTACTTTCTGAGATTTCATTATTTTTATGTATGTAGAGATAATTTTAGATACTAGTATATTATTTTAAAGCATCTAAATTTATATTGTTTTTAAATGTTACCCTTTAATCTTTTGTAAAATTAATTTTTAATGCAGGAGTAAATATTGCAATTTATGGATATACAGAAGAAGGAGGAAAATTTTTTGTTGAAGATGTGTGCTATCCTGCAGTATTTGAACCTGACATATTACCAGTGTTTTTGGAAGATAGGTAATTAGTAAAATCAAATAATTTCAAAAAATAATGTCAAAAATAAATGTTATTAATTTATATTACTTAGAATATTTTCTATTGTAAGATGACACATGCAAAACAATTTTCTAATTGACAGAGATATTCTTCATCTTGTGAATATATAAATACAGTACAAAGTCCGCAATCCAAACTCGTCGGGACTTAGGCAATTCTGGATTAGGGGTTTTTCCGGATTATAGATCATCAATTTAAATCTGGTAAGATGGCATGCAGAAATTACACAGTTAAAAATATGAAACCGTAATTTATGAAATAAAGAGCAATTATGATCTAAAGGTTATAAAAATTTACAAAAAAAAAAAAAAAAAAAAAAAAAAAAAAAAAAAAAAAAAAAAAAAAAAAAAAAAGGCTTAATATTTATTTGTTTACTTTATTAAACATTTCTTTCAATGTAAGTTGTTTAAGTTGCTTCGTTTTTTGTGCTAATACTTTCTCTTTAATTCTATAAACAGACATAATTTCTTGTTCAGTTACAGAGTTCTACTGTTCAAATCCTGTAATTTCTGCGTCAAGAATACCGACTAACTTGTCAATCGAAATGTTTTCATTTTCAATAACCTTTCTGTCACTTTCTTCACTATCGGAAGCAGTATTTTCTGGATCTAGAACCATACTACAGATTTCGCCGTCCGTTAATTGGTTGATGATTGGGACATTGTCGTAGCAATGAAAAACTTCTGTTATATCATCTTCATTTATTACTGCTTCTCCATATTTCTTTACAAAATCCAATAACTGGAATATTTCACCTTTAGTTTGCGATGTCCCAAAACCTTCAGATTTGCGGCTATCATCTTCATCGTCGTCACCATGAAATATGGTAGCCGGCCATAAATTATGCCAAGCATTTTTTAACATGTCCTCCCAACATGCATGCGCATGCATACAAAAAATAAAGTTTGTGGCTTTGAGGTCCGGATTATAGATCATTCCAGATAATGGATGTCTGGATTATAGATCATTCCAGATAATGGACGTCCGGATTACAGACTTTGTACTGTAAATGCTATGGAACTAATCATATTGTATTTAGCTCTTATTCATACAAACCATGCGGAGAGGTTGGAAGAAAGACAGAAAACCTGAAAAAAATCTTAGTTGACATTGTTGTCTACTGGCCACCTTTAAATTAAACATGTTATTTGTATCTTTATAATAGTCTTGTATTGTAGTTTTTAAAATACGTGTTATCAGCAAAAAGTTTTTTAAATGTGTCTTTCGATTTCAGTTCTTAGTTTATTGAAATAATTAACTTTAGAGACATATTTCTTATATTTGGAAAATTGTACTACAATTTTGTCATATAACAGAGAAAATACTTTATATTCTTTGTAATTTCTTACTTATTGACTTTATGTTATATTTCCTTTTTAGTAATCTTTAGTGAGGTCATATTTATGTGTTTTAAGTCAAAAGAGCTGAGTGACTTTGATCATAGCAGTATAGTGGGATGCCCCGTTTGTGGGAAATCAGTTTGTGAAATTTTGAACATTCTACAGAAGCCAAAGTCCACCGTGAGTGATGTAATTGTGAAATGGAAATGTCGAGGTAGTGAAAATGCAAAAGAACAAAGTGGCAGGCCAAAATAATTAGTGACATAGCCATAGAACTCTGAAAAAGGTAGTGAAACAAAATCGAAAGTCTTCATTGGTTGAAATCACTCAGGAGTTCCAAAGTTCATCGGGCAGTGGGACTGTTCGTCGAGAATTAAAAAATCTGATATTTCATAGTCGTGCAGCCACTCACAAGCTGAACATCACTCCTCAGAATGCGAAGCATCGATTGCAATGGCACAAAGCTCACCATCATTGCACTATGGACATGTGGAAAAATGATCTTCGGAGTGATGAATCTCGCTATGCAATCTGGCAGTCTGATATATATATATATATTTTAAATTTCCAATGGCAGATTATGAACAGTTACAGCAAAAAAAACAAGAACAAAGAACATAGAATACAGCAATACAATTAAAAAAAACAGCTGTAACAGAGTCCATTAATCTAACATATCTCTTGCCTCCCAGAAATGCTCAGCGAGAAAAGTCTTGCGCAGAGCAGGACAGTGGGGTAGTCCTGGCAGTCCGATATATGCATCTAGGTTTGGTGGATGCCTGATGAGCACTTCTTAAGTGACTGCATTGTGCCGATTGCAAAGTTTGGTGGTGGCAGCATCATAGTGTGGGGGGTGTTTTGGTCTGGGTTCCTTAGTTCCTGTGGTTAGAAACATGAACTCTGATAGGTGTGTGGACATTCTGTATAATGCTGCTTTCCCAACTCTATGGTAATATTTTGGGAAAGGCTGATTTTTCTTTCAGCAGGATAACTGCTCATTTAACACATCAAGATTTGTGCAACCATGGTTTGATGAAATGGGTGTTCAAAAGTTGGACTGGCCTTCTCAGACCCTCGATTTAAATCCCACAGAACATCCTTGGGATGAATCAGAATGCAGATTATGTAGTCAGCCAAATCGACCATCTTTGCTGCCAGCATTCACTTCAGCTGTGATGGACACTTGGGAATCAATTCCTATGGCCATGTATTAAAAACCAGTGGAAAGTCTTCCCAGACATGTGCAGGCTGCATCGATGAAAAGGGGGACTGACATCATATTAATATATGCCTCAGGATTCCCCAAGTTCATACCACTATACGGATATTTTTGGCCAGATAGTGTATATACACAGTGTAGAGATAAAACCTTTAGTTATTAAAAAAGTGCATTAAGCTTAGATACTTCAAATTGACAGTAAATCTAGTTTTTAATGTTTCTGTGACTCAATAAACAATAAATTCATTTATATATTTTTTATACTTATGAAAGTGTGCAATAAATAGTCAGAAAGATTTTTGAGTAGATTTTGTAGTGAAAGATTTCATTGCAAAATCTACTGAGAAATCTTGCTTTCATTACACAGATTTGTGAAAATTTACTTTTTGCATATAGTTCATTAATTGCATTGTTGGGGTAATTTTTTAATATAGTCTGAGCACTTTCACTGTCATTTTATTGGTGTATTACTGAAGTTAGCGTGCAGAGATTTTTAAGTTAAAATTTTTTAAATTGCTTATTTATTTATTATTTAGGTTTGTTGTATTGGTTTCTGGATTTGGACTGGGGGATCCTAATGTTTTATTTCCTATTCAACTTCTGATTGATACCATTAATGGGCAACTTGGTGAAGAACAGGATCAAAAGAGGTTTTCTCAAGTAATTCGAGTAATTATTGCTGGAAATAGCATAGGTATCCATACAAAAGACTTCTTTGCTAAGGTTTGTAAATGACACATTTTGTAAATGATGTATAAATGTACATACAGTCAAAAGTCCTTAATCCGGACTCATCGGGACTTCGGCAATTCTGGATTATCGATTTTTCCGGATTATAGATCATCAGTTTAAATCTGGTAAGATGGCATGCAGAAATTCTAAAATTAAAAATATTAAACCATAATTTATGAAATAAAGAACAATTATGCTCTAGAGGGTATCAAAATTTACAAATAAAAAAAAGCTTAATATTTATTTGTTTACTTTATTAAACATTTCTTTCAATGTAAGTTGTTTAAGTTGCTTCGTTTTTTATGTGATAATATATTCTCTTTAATTCTATAAACAGGCATAATTTCTTGTTCAGTTGCTAAGTTCCGCTGTTCAAGTCCTATAATTGCTGTGTTGAGAATACCGACTAATTTGTCAATCGAAATTTTTTCATTTTCAATAACCTCTGTTACTTTCTTTGCTATTGGAAGCGAATTATAATGACGAGGAATTTGATTTAAATCATATCAAAGATGGAGTACATCGAGATGAAATACTACATTTAGTAAGTCATTATAAGCCAAATAAAATAAAAACATCTGCCTTGAAGATAAAGATAGTGCTGACAGATCAACTTCCAATTTATTGCATGCCGCGGCGTTAAAGATAAACAAAGTTTAGATAAACAAAGGATATGCCTTTATCCGTTTTTTTTGCAGCAATTCCACTTTTTGTTTAATGGACTTCAAAACATACTTTCGCTTTGTGGATCCTTTACATATTAGTAAATATATATCAGAAATTCTATTTGACATAATTGAAAGTTCAAGCTTATTTTAAAATGCTCTAACAGTCTGCAAAAAATAATAAGCCAAATCCAATTCGAAGATTAAGAAACAATGCCAATTGCAACATTAACTGAAGTAGATAATTTTAGCTTAGCTTATACCGTCCGTTATACATTAAACCCACATTCGTAAACGTATTTTGCTCAGACGCATATTCGCAGCCGTGCGACACATGCGCAGAAAGTTTGTAGCTTTGAGGTCCGGATTATAGATCATTCCGGATTATGGGTGTCCGAATTAATGACTTTTGACTGTATTGCTTATTTATTTGAAATAAACAGATTTGAATAATAAAGTAATATATTTTTTCACTTTTTTAAAGCTTAAATGAATCGCTTGCATATCAATTATTTTACTGAGAACTTAATTCCCATTCATATATTTTTATATTTCCATTAATCTAACAATTTTTCTTGCCTGAAACACAAAAGATGATCTGAAGTGTATTTACAAAATTGATGATTTTAAAACATACTGTTTTATATCGGATGATCCAAAAGTCATACACTTCAAGCTTTCAAAAATTATGGAAATTCCATTGTGTTTGTCTTTAAAACTTAAATTTTAATCATTTGTACCTTTCATGATAGCTAACTCGTGTGCCAATTATTCCATCCAAAATCTTTTTCCAGGCATCATAATTTTTCTAAATACCATAAATAACCATAGGCAATCAAAAAACAGATACTTATTAAAAAAAGTAACTTAAACTATAAATGTGTGTTAAAAATGTGTAAATATGTGTGTTATGTGTAATATGTGTGTTAAAAAATCACAGCATTATCCCCTATTATTACAACTTCTCCAACAGTTTATGATCATTCAGTAGAATATTTGTATTAACAGTACTTCAGTAGTTTGTTTATAATGTATGACAGCTATTTAGTGATGCAAAACTTGTGCACATTTAACTTTCAGAAACTGCAAAAATTAATTCCGTATTTAATGGCAAATTGTTTCAATGGATGACATACCTGTGTTGTTACAAGTAAGATATCACTTGACATTTCAGTTGTAGTTTATGTTGTTAGCTTTAAAAACTGTTTGTTTGGTAGAAAGGATGAGTTTCTCTCAAGTATAATAAATTTTTATGATTGAGTGTTACTTCTCAATGCATTCTAATGGAAAAGTTAAAGTGCTACAGAGACAATCCTAAATGTTCATATTGCAATGTTTTTCTGTTTAGTAATCGGGTTTCGAGAAACTGGAATAATTTTCTATAGCAAATGAAGTAGCTGCCCATCTCAACTAAGTTTAGACAAAAAGGATGAAGTCAAGAATAAAATGTTGCAGTCATCAACAAAGAGTGTGAGAAAGATGGTATTGCACTGAAATTTATGCAAAGTAATATAATAGTTTTTTCTGCTTAAAGAAAGTCATCTCCATCTTGGACCAAACATATTATTTTTAAAGGTATATGCATAAATTGAAACTGAAATTTCAAGTTATATATTACTTATAGTAGTATGATGATGCCATCCATTGAAACAATTTGCCATTTAATATCATTTTGGAACTTCCACTGTTTTTGAAATTTTGATGTGCATGGCTTTTGGATCTTTTGTCATTCATTATCAGCAAACTTTTGAAGTATTCTTGTGAAGAGAAATATTCTACTGAAAGATAATGGACTAGTGGAGAAGTTGTAATAATATAGGATAATGTAATTTTTTAGCACATGCTACTTATAATTTAAGTTTCCTTTGTAATAATTTTGTGTTTTTTTATTGTTTGCGATGATTTATTATGATAAAGCTGTAAAACATATATAAATTTGTGTTAGTGCAGTACAGTAAGTGTGTGTAAGAAAGTATCATATTTTTTCAGAAATAGGGCATTTTTCCTAGTAGTATTGTACAAAGTCTTATATCCAGACTCGTCTGGACTTTGGCGATTCTGGATTTGGGATTTGACATGTGGAAATTATAAAATTAAAAATATGAAATAGTGATTTATGAAATAATTTCATTGCTTAATAAATAATATCATTGCTTCAGAATAACCTCTGAACTGTATTCCAAAAGGACAATGCTACTGTCCATGTCATTGCTCAACATTTAAGCATGTCCACTGTATTATTCAACATTTTTTGTGTGACCATCAAGAGTCAGCTTTTCTTCAGACTGTGCATAGTTGTTTAATTTATCCCCTGTACAACACGTATGGGATATGATTGTTGAAATTTGGCTCATATAACATCCTTCAAGTTGCATATACGTATTTATTCTACAAGGAATAACATTCCACAGTCAGCCTAAACCCAAATCTTTGATGCTACCATATGATATATGAGCCATTGTAAATGCAGCAGGTGGGCAAAATACTAAATTTTGCACACTTCTTTTATATTACTGTTGTTACTGAAATTATGATCATTCTTATCTTACATCATATTGTATTCTTTTCAACCAAGATCTTTTTTGAAATTTATGTCTTATGTCTTTTATGGTATAATTTCTCTGAACAGTAGTATATTTCTGATAACAAACTCATATTTTCTGAAAACTTGTTGTTGCATATTACAAGCTGATAAGTGATTCTAGGAAAAAAATATTATAATTTATGTATTTATTTGTTTATTTAAAATTTTCGCAGGCAAAATTTTTAACTAGAAAGTCAAAAGCAACAACTGTTGAAAATGTTAAAGCACTGGATGATATTCTTGCCCAGTTAGTTGTGAGTATATTTTGGTTTAACACATTTCATGCATTAAAAATTTTATCATGTTTTTAACCTATGAAAAGCAGGTACTTTCTGAATATTTGCAACCTCTTCCAAAAATTTGCTAACTCATTGGTGATTAATTTTTCATCAAGGTAATATGCAAAAGGCAACAGCATTTTGAAAATGGTGGTACACTAAGAATTCCATAAAAGAGCAATGAAAATCAATAAAATAAAAAACAGCAAGAAATATTTATAATAAAACACTAACTTTTTACAAGAAATCCTTATGCAATTTTTTTGTGTATGTGCTGTTTGTTAACCCAAGCATGCGTTGATCTGTTTGTTTAAAAAAGGCTGGCACAAATTCAGCATTTCACATGTTATTGTTCTCCCTACGTATACAGCAATCTGTTTTCGCATAAAAAGCATTGAACAAATTGTGTAAATTTGGCATCACAAACAGATTTTAAGACATAAAACTTGACCATTTAAGTACAGCTTCATGTAATATGAATTTTTGGATTCCTGTACTGTTGGGAAAATTGGCATATTTTTGAAGAAATGCAAATCTTTCTTCTTTATTTGCTGTACAGCTCCACAGTACCATTATAATACATTACAAAAAAGGGAGGGAAAAATTAATTTCCTGAAATTAAAATTTTAGTTATTTTTATTTTTATTTTTATTTATTTATTTATTATTTTTGTAATTTCTAGTATCTTCTTAAGATTTATGCTTACTTTTTATGTAATAAATGTCAAAGAATAGCTGTGTCTTTTTAAAATTTTTTTTATTTATTTGTTTATTATTTTATTATTAGGTTTTCCGGAAAATAATGCAGGTTTTAACCTATATCTTTAAAGTATCATAACTCAACTCAAAAACAATTTTAGTAATCAAAATAAGCAGCAGCCGAATCAATGCATTTTTGTTAATGAGATATAAGTTTATTTATGCCGGTCGAATAAAATTCTGGAGTTCTGGAGGCGATAAAGTTGTTAAAGGTATTTTGGGATTCATCTTGTTTTCTAAAGCATTTGTACTGCATAATGTTATCCAGGTGTTTGAAAAAGTGGTAATCGGTTGGTGAGAGGTAAGGTGAATATGGGGGAAGAGGGAAAGTCTTGTATCCCAGTTTGTCAAATTTCTGTAGGGTCAGTTGCATGACGTGTGGCCGAGCATCGTCATGGAGAAGAACTGTCCGCTTTCTGTTGACCAATGCAGAGCACATGCATTGCAATTTTTGGTGCATTTTGTTGATTTGCTGACAGTACTTATCTGCCGTAATCATTTCGCCCAGATTTAGGAAGCTGTAGTGGATGAGACCGGCATTAGACCACCAAACATTCACCATAATTTTCTTTTGGTGGAAATTCGGCTTTGAAAATTGTTGTGGTGTCTGATTGCGGTCCAAGCACTGAGCTGAGTGTCGCTAGTTGTTGGAGAGAATCCACTTTTCATCGCACATAATATGTCGATCAAGAAAAAGGTAATTTTTATTGTGGAGAAAAAGAGCAGACGACAGTTCAAAACGCTGTTTTTTTTTAAATTTTTGCTCAATTTGTGAGGCAACCGCTTATCGAGCTTTGATTTTCCTATAGGATTCAAGTGATCAGAAATCGTTGTTTTGCTTACATCAAGCTCTCAAACAGTTATGCACGTGTTTGTTTCAACTAAAGTCTTCAAATCATCGTTATCAACAGCTGAAGAGCATCCATGATGCTCTTGATCTTCGAGGTTAAATTCTCAACGGCGAAACTTTTGGTATCACCATTGAACCGTAGATTCATTAACACTTTTCTCACCCAATACTTGTTGACATTTCGAGCCGTTTGTGTTGCGCTGTGGCCTAGTTTGTACTCATAAAAGTAAATTTGCAGAAAATCCCATTTTGACATCTAAACAAAAATACCTAGTAAATATTTTTGAAAATAATTTTGAAACAAAATGATTATTATTAACAAAACGATATATAGAGCGAAAACAGAGCTTCAAAATGATATATAAACCAATGTAGTTCAAAATACTTTTTTTGGTAAAGACGTACAGGAAAGATAAACAATTGCAGAAACCTGCATTATTTTCCGGACAACCTCATATCTAAATTATACATTACTATAGAGACTTGGCATTATACATTACTACAGATCTTGGCATTCTATTTAAATACATCACTTAAGATATTATGTATCTGTTGCACTGGGTTTTTGGAATGGCTGATAAACTATTCTTATTGAAAATTTAAACACATGTTTGTTACAGAATAATTTTCTAGATCATGGGTTTTCTTTTTCAGTCACAGAATGTTGTAGTTATCATAATATGGCATCTTAAATGCTCTTTCAGCTCAAATCATATTTCTTTAAGTGATTCACATGAAACAGTTGTGAAATGATTATTGATAAAGAATAAAATAGTTTGAAATAAACTTCTTAATGTTTATACCAGTGTATGATGAGTATTTATTGCATTTGTTATTTTAAAATGAGAATTCTGATTTCTGAGCATATAGTATGCTTTAATTTTTAACTCTGAATCACATCCCAAATTTTCTGCTTTAAGTTTATTAAAGTGTGAAAATCTTATATTCCTAAAAATTTCATTAATGGATAATTTCATTCATTAATAATTCTAAATTAATTAATAGAGTAATTTGAAATTCAAATTTATAAATGAACCCATTTTTACAAAATGAGGATCAAATTTTAGGCCATTTGTAAAATATTCCCCCTAATACAGAGTAAGCATATATGTATATTTTTGTACTTTACTACATTTGTACTTACTACATAACTTGCTACATTTTGAAAGCATTTATTAACATTGAAATTAGCCCCCTCCCCAAAAAAGAACTTTAGTTTGTCATAGCTTTTGAATAAAATTCTGTTGTTTTTTGATTTCAAAGGCAGTCATGAGATTAGATGATTTGTCAAAATAGAAGTTTGTGCAAATTCTGCCAGATTAAAGTTGCTTTTTTGCTTAATCTAAACATTTGTATGTTTCCATTTCAGTTTAATGATTCTTTGCTTTTGAAACTTTCTGTATATGCACTTTTACAATTTAATGTAACTTTTTAAGGCAGATATTATCATGACTATGCCATGATAATTTAGTTTGAAGATGATAAATATTTGTTATAAATAAGAATGCCGAATAAGTATACGTATTGCACCAAAAAAGAGAATTATTAAACTTTTAATTGTTTATTTAATGTACTTAGTATATTAAGCCATGCATGAAATAATTTTGCTTTGATCGTAGACTTCTGTTGACGTTGATCTTATGCCAGGAGAATTTGATCCTGCAAATCACTTACTACCTCAGCAACCTCTTCACCCTTGTATGTTTCCAAAATCTTCAAAGTATTCAACTTTTAATGTTGTGACAAATCCATATCACTCCATTATTGATGGTGTAAGGTAAGCCATTACTGAATATTATTATGAATAATATACCATTTGAAAAGCTTTTGAATGAATATATGATGTAGTTTTAACCCTTTCCATACGATAGCCCAATCTCTTGATCAGTAAGTTTGTCTCTGTCAGTTGGCAACCTATCTCTATAAAATGGGGTACTGACCTTCCGTGATGCCTCCATGGGATTGGGGGGGGGAGGTGCTCCTTCTCTAAGCCTAATTTTGCTCAAAAATTTAGCAAACACACCTTTTTATTCCAATGAAATAAATTTTTTCAAATATTGCAGAAAATGCATTTATCTTTGTGCTTGGTGAATTACAGAATTAAGTACATATAATGTGTACAGTTGTAATGATATATATAGATAATAAAAGATGAATTTTAAAGCAAACATTCAGGATTTGTTAAACTACAGTTAAGACACATCCACACATACATATATACATTTACATTGAGATTTAAAGTTTTGTTTTCTGTGTGGTATATTCTGAAGCAAAGTTCCATGTTATCATCTTTGCACTTAAAGTAAGATGTTTTTCCTGAAGCTCGTTTCTTCTGTTTAGTTTGAGAGCAAACAATACATCTTCTCATTTTCTCTTTCCTTTCATTAAGAAGAATTAGAGATGGGAAAAGCCTTTCTGAAACTCGAAATGGCATTGGTGCAGCTAATGCTCTAAATTCATATTCTCTTAGCATGACCCTTTCCATAATTGTTCAATTAATTTTAATTGAAATTGAGGTAATGGTGCTTTTGTACCATTCTTTACATCACATAAAATATGAGCATCATAGATCATAATGGCAAGGAGCCCCCAAAATAATTTTTTATACCATTTGATAGATTTTCTGTAAGATGGATAATGCATAATGACTGCATCACTAATATCCACTCCTACCATATTTTTATTGTACTGCAATATACAGTTTGGTTTCTTACTCCCAGTTTGTGATTTTGTTAACCAGAGTTTTCTAATTGGTATCCATGCATTATAGTTAAAAGCAATACTTGCTTTTTTTTATCTGTAAGCTAACAACCAGATACATATTTTTACTGCACATTATCTCTACATCGTTTTGTCTCATTGATTTTGATGGGGAATTTTTTTGCAGACCTTTCCTTGTTTTCATGATTGTGCTGCAAACATTCATATTTGCATCATATAAACAGGGCTGTCTTGCTACCTAGAAAACCCAAAAAAGTCAGGGAATTAGAAAATTGACCAAAAAAGTCAGGGAATTTCATACACCAAAAAAGCAAGTTTTGCACCAATGTTGGAAGCAGTCATTTTATTGGCTAATTATGTATCTTGTGAGCGTCATTTGGGCAGCTGGCATAGAGCCAATTTTTGCAGCTCCAATCAAATTGTCTTTTAAAAAGGCAAAGCAAGTTTCCAGTAACCTTGAGAATCAAGAGACTGCATGCATACGCAAAGACAGTTGACAAAGAAATACATTCCATTTTATACAAAAACAAAAGGGGTGTAACTTGTAGTATATGGTACCAAAAGAGGTAATAGAAGAGGACTTTGTGACTCGATTCTAAATTCGGAGCACAATAACAGGGGATTTTGGCGACATTGGGAGGACGTAAACATGTCATTTTTTGTTGGCGCCAGTTTCAAAATCCGCCAGGCTGTATCGAAGAGTGATTTACTGCAAAATCTTTTAAACCTTGAAGGGCTTTATTTTTCATTTGGCAATAAAGAAGATCGTAATTCATCTAGGCTCCTTTTAATAGAACTATGTTCGCCAAAATATTTCGTGAGTGTAATTAATTGAAGTCAGTTATGAAATGTTATCATGAATTAATGTGGCTTCTTTTCCTCTAATTTATTTATGATTAGTTAATAATACTTTCAAATTCAGGCATTTTCTTGGCATAATCTGAACTAAGTCTAGCAGAGATGACATACTACCGAAATTAATGCCCAGTTTTTCTGATCGGCGTACAGAACGACAAATATAATGCATTTTGGAAATAGCAGCAATAGATTACGTCTTTCGTGTAGTGCACATTCTGCCCAAAAGGACATTTAATCCGAGTGGGCAGATTCAATCGTCAATCTTCAGTTGGAACAACTTCTATGATAGTTATAATATAGGCTGGGATATAGAATATATGTCATAGAATTGGCATTGATTTTGGCGCTCAAGTGGGGCCATAATTAATTTACTCTCAGCACAGCCAATACACTATCTGAATAGACTGGAATTTTCATAAAACACACCTGGAAAACCTGGAAAAGTCAGGGAATTTCATTCTCTTGTTTGAGTGGCAAGCCTGTATAAATCTAATGAAAGTGACTATGAAGTGAAAACCCTATCCAGTTATAAGTTGTATCTGTTTCTCAAAAGATCACTTATGAGGGTTTTCATGGCAGTCTCGCTATATAGGCCACCTCTCGCTGTAAGATTGATAAGGTTTTCCTTTATATATTAAAAATTTCCAGACATAACATATATCCGATTCACTTAGTTTATATATTTTTATACCATATTGGGAGTGTTTCGACAGAACATAATAACTAAAACCTAGCCTACTTTTCCATATAAACAAAGATTCATCAACAGACACATTTTTTGTTCAGTTTATACATATTTTTAGAATTTTTATGCAAGTGGGTCAATAATTCGCTTAAGTTCATCCATTTTGTTTAGCACTGCTGTCTGGTGTAAAGTAAAAGTACCACAATATCTTAAAAAATTTATCTCTTGATGTGATTTTATTGAAAAATGGAACAGCAGTTATCTGATTTATAATAAAGTATATCTTTAGATCTGGTTTTTTTATTATAACCCATTAGCATATTTAATGCTAAAAAAAGATTCATTTCTTCTTGTGACACAGGATTGAAATGAGAAGGACCAGGGGAATCTGGAGATGGCCCACTGGGAAGTGGATCAAAATCTGCAAAATTATTTGTTTGCTCCATAATTAAATTTATTAAGTCATTGT